TTAAAAAAAAAAAAAAAAAAAAAGAATACAGTTCGTGGGCTAGGGATGTACCTCAGTGGCTGAGTTCTTGCTAAGCGTTCATGAGGCCCTGGTTTGGATGCCCAGCACTAAAAAAAAAAAAAAAAAAAAAAAAAAAGGTCTTATTTATCTAAACTTTTATATAAAAGTTCTATACAGAAGTCCCTCATACTTAAAAAAAATCCAAAAATCTAATTGAAAAAAGCAATAGCTAATTTGCAAAATAATTTAACCTATTTCTTTGGGTCTCAGAATTTCTTAATCACTGACATAATAAAACTTGCATCATTGTAATACTTAAATGCAATGAAGCATAGTTAAATCCAGATAATCTCAAAGACATTTTTGTTAAAGAAGATATTCAGTTAGGCACTGGGCACATGCTATAATCTAGCTACTAGGGAGGCTGAGACAGAAAGTTTACAAATTCTAGGCCAGCCTTGGGCAATTTAGCGAGACTTTGTCTCAGAATAAAATAAAAAGGGCTGGGGATACAGCTGGTGGTTAGAGGAGTTGCCTAGCATGTTCCTGGGTTCAATTCCCAATACTGAGTATTGTTTTGGTGAAAAGATAGTCATCAAAATAGATTAAAAATTAATCAGGGCATAGGCTGGGGTTGTGGCTCAGCAGTGGAGTGCTTACCTAGCACATGCGAGACGCTGGGTTCGATTTTAAGCACCACATAAAAATAAATAAAATAAAGGTATTGTGTCCAACTAAATAAAATATTTTTGAAAAATTAATCAGGGCTAGGGCTGTAGCTCAGTGGCAGAGCACTTGCCTAGCATGTGTGAGGCACTGGGTTCGATTCTAAGCACCACATAAAAATAAACAAAATAAAGGCATTCTGTACATCTACAAATATTAAAAAAAAAAAAATTAATCAGCTGGGCCCAGGGGCACATGCCTGTAATCCCAGCAGTTTGGGAGGCTGAGGCAAGAGAATCACAAGTTCAAAGTTAGCCTCAGGAACTTAGGGAGGCTAAGCAACTCAGCAAGATCCTGTCTCTAAATAAAATATAAAAAAGGGCTCAGGATGGGTGTCAGTGGTCCCTGAGTTCAATATCCGGTACCCCCACCAAAAAAACAAACTAATTTTCTAGTTATCTTCATATCACTGATGTAGATCAATACCGTTTTTTCAAACTATATTTTCGTTGCAGAAATGTAATATTTTGAAGAACTTATAATTTCATATTTAAGCTGAATATCCAAAGTGATCTTTAATTCTCCATTCACTCCAATTTTTGTTTTAAATATCAATCATCATGTTGAATCACTCCCTGGATGATATGGTATAATGGAATGAGCACTACAGTAGATGTCAGAAACTTGGCTTCTGCTACTGCCCATTTGCAACAACTTAGGCAAATCACTTCATTCTCAACTTATTTAGTTTATTCAAAAGTAAAACAAGTAAGGCTAATCTAAGATCCTACTTTCTATAATTCATTAAATCATTAGCATTTTGTTTTAACCAAATTTAATGTGATTTTGAGATCACTTAAATAAAAGTAAGAGTGGCACACATGAAAGAATTAAACTGTCTAAAGAACTCCACAGAAACACTGTTTTACAAGGTCTCAGACTTTCAAATGCAAAGGGTGGGGGGAGTAGGTTGTATCAGAAGACTATCCAAGTAATATTTTCGACCACACAAGTTCCTGGGGCAGCAGAAATGGTAGAATAGTATAAACGTTCAAGGAAAAACACTACCACAAAAATACCAAAATAAAAAACAGATGCTCAACACAATATTATTGCTACATTACAGAAACTTTTCATAGTTTTTCAATACTCTCAAGAAGTCCTGATAGAAAACGCTTTCTTAGTGCTGGGCATATAGCTCAGTTGGTAAAGTGCTTGCCTTGCACACACAAGGCCCTGGGTTCAATCTCCAGCACCATCACAAAAAAAAAAAGAAAAGAAAATGCTTTCTTAATCATCAAAATTACCTTTCATGCTGGATGCAGTGGCACATGTCTGTAATCCCAACTGCTTGGAAGGCTGAGGCAGGATAATCTCGAGTTCAAAGCCAGCCTCAGCAGCTTAGTGAAGCCTTAAGCAACTCAGAGAGGCCCTGTCTCTAAATAAAATATAAAAAAGGGCTGGGGATGTGGCTCAGTGGTTAAATGTCCCTGGGTTCAATCCCTGGTAACAAGACTAACTAAATAAATAGTTTTTCATATCCTCCAACCTGAAAAGGACAAAGTTATCAGACAATCCGAAGACTGAGTTATTTGTGGATATAACTGACCTATTCAACTATGCCTTATGCCTTTATAGCATTTAGTAATCCACCCAAAACATAAATTGATTGTACAAATGAATGACTGAAAACACATGAGCCTCTTACCTACAAATCTGTATATAATAAATTCAGATCAAACTTTACTACTTGCTTTGTACCACAGTCTAATAAAATTCAATATGTGAAGTAAAAGAAAAGATGGAGCCTGGCGCTATAACACGTGTCCATAGTCCCAACTACTGGGGAGGCCAAGGCTTAATCCCAGGAATAGAAGGCCACACATTGAAATCCCATCTCAAATAAGTAAGAACAGATGGAAGTAACTAAAGAGTTTTATCATATCCAGGCACAAATAAGAATTTGAAATTACAACTAAGATAGATCACAAAATATAATTAAAACTAAGTAACAAAAACATATAAAAAACCAACAAGCCAGAGTAATGGCACACACTAGTAAACCCAGGGACTTGGGAGACTGAGGTTAGAGGACAGCAAGTTCCAGGCCAGCCCCAGACTAATTGTCATAGTTTCATAGTTTTTATTTTAAACTACGAGGACAGTCCAAACACTTAAGTTTTACTATATTTTTTAAATCCACAAAAGCATCAAATTAAAATATATATATTTCTCTAGAGGCCATGGAGAGAATTATAGCTTCCATAGATACGTCACAGCAGATAACAGGTGTATTCTGATAAATTGTAATGTGAATACATTTTTCTAACTAGATTCCTATGTTTATTCATTCAATAAAAAATTTGTAGTGTCTGGTGTGAATATACTATGTATACAACCAGAGATATGAAAAACTGTGCTCTAAAATATGTGTAATAAGAATTGTAATGCATTCCGCTGTCATATATAAATTTAAATTTTTTTTTTAATTTGCAGTGTCAAAATCTCTCTCTCTCCCTCCCTTCCTCCCCCTTACTAGGTGCTTAACCAGAGATAAAATCAGAGAAGGGCCTATCCTGCTCTCAAAAAGAGATAAACCAGAACATAAATACCAACAGTACAAGGTAGAAAGTGTAAGCACTGAGAAAGATAAGCAGATAAAGCAATACAGGATCTCAGAGGGAGTTGTTACTACCTCACAGAAACACAACCCTTTCAATCTGTTTAAAGCAATTTCATAACTGTTAACTCCCTTTGGGCGCATAACAGCCGCCCATAGATAGATAAATGGTTTCCTAATATTAGAGATAAGGAAACTGAAGCACAGAGAAGTTGATATATTCCAAAACGTCAGTTATAAGAAGAATCAGAAATTAATATTACATTTTCTCCGGGGGAGTAGTTCAATATATGGCATATCTTTTTTAAAAGGAAAGAGTATTTTGGTATTTAACTAATCATTTCCTAGTGCGACTATTTTACATGTAAATACATATACATACACACACCTTGATTTTCATTAACCGCTGGGCTTAAGGCAAGACAAGCAACCGGAAACTATAAATATGAAAGTAAACTTCCAGTGGATTTTAATAGAATGAAAAAATTAGATTTCTGTCTAGCAATTTGTGGTTAATTCTTCTGTAATTTTTACCTATGTATAAATAAGATTCTAAAATAGGTCTGATCCTGAGTCCAGGCAAGTGCTGGTTTATCCAGTAAGTTATCTTTATGAAAGTAAATATCAAAATATTTCCATGAAATTACCAAAACTTAAATACTGTCATGCCATTTTCAGTGACCCAGAATCATCACAGTTATTGTTCAGAATATACTAAAGGAAGGAAGGAATATGTATAGGCATTTTAAAATCCCAGACCTGTTGCTCTCTGCACACAGTCACGTTCAGCGAGCCTCCCATCACTGCCTCACGAGGGGGCACACAAGAATTGTAAATTTCAATATAATTAGGGCATAATTAAGAAAGCAAACCTGATGCAGGTGAATATACTAATCCCAAAGATTAGAATGCCCCATACCCCTACTCTCCAAGGTAAATTCTGTTGAAGAGGCACCGTAGCAATGAAACTCTTGACATTTCCTAGGCAAATACTTCTCATAAATACCATTTATTCCCATCTATTCCTTTAATCCACGACTACTCCTGGTCTAGGTAATTCGAAGAATTCAATCACCTCTCCATTAAAGCTGATTTCTCCATTCTAGTTTTCCAAATCCTTCATCTGGCACACGAAAACACCAACAATAAACGGCGGAAGGTATAGGGTTCGGATCTTTGCCAGCTCCACCACTACCCACCCTTCGCCATTACAGCCCGAAGTGGTCAGGTTAGAAAGGTGAACTACTCGGCTCCTTCACGTACTCGTCCAACGCTGTCACCCTCCCTAACCCTTCCACACTCCCAAGACGGCCACTAACTCCGCCTAAGAGTGAGCCCAGGCCCGCCACCTGCGCCGGCCCCACCCGGGGACCCTTGGCCATCGCGTCCCCCCTCCGCCAACCCTGCAGGCTCCGCTYGCCCCTTCCCCACAGGACACGTCGGGGTCGGCCCTGGCCCGGCCGCAGCCCATTCTTCTTCCAAACTCCAGAAGCCTCCACTCGCCTAGCCCGAGCCCTCCGCCGCGCCCGACTCGCCCCTGGGCGGCCAAAGAGAAGGGGCCGGCAGCTGGGACGGGTCCCGACCTAGCGGGGCCCGCGACGCCAGTCCCTGGGCCGAAAAGCTGGCCCCACGGCCGGTGCCCTGAGAGTCCTCGGAAGCCCCGGGGCGAGAAGGGGCCCGGAGGCCGGCGCTGCGGGCGCCGGGGCCTACTCACCGGGAGCTGGCAGAGCGTGGGAGCCGGCGCGTCCCCCGGCCTCAGGAGCAGGACGCGGCCCCGGCGCGCGGCCCTACGCCGGGACCTCGCTCGGCGCGGCGAGCCAGACACTCACTCCAGCCGCTGCCGCCGCCGCCGCCGCTGCTGCTTCGCCACCTTGGCCGCCATCTTGACTCAACCCCTCTCCCTCCCCCCCCGCCAGCCCGGGGGCCGCGGCTAAGGCGGCTCCGGCGCCGGCTCCTCCTCCTTCCGGAGGGCTTAGAGACCGACTCCCTCCGCTGGCGGAGCGCCTTTCTTACTTCGGCGGAGCTTCCTGGGTCGCGCAGCTCCGGACTCCTTCTGGTTTCGCCTCAGTGTGGCGGCAGCGGTCCCCCTCAAACACAAATAGGCCGGGGCAGCGTCGCCCCCAATGGGACCCAGCGCTGCTGCCATGGCGCACCMGGCCTGAGGAGCCTGCCGCGAGCGGGCCCGCCCCGGAGCGCTCGGGGGCTACCTCCCGGCGTGGGAAAGGGCAGGGCGCCCGTCTGTGCCTCGGGTCCTGCTACCCCCTCAGCGGCACGGCAGGATGGCGACGGCCTCCACTGCCCGGGGCTGCAAAGACAGAATCCGGGTCCACGTGGCACGTCGACTTACCCGATACTTTAGCACCAAGCCCTCACCGAAATGCCCGGCGAGGCCGATTTGCCCATCACATCGCTCTTGAATCTGACTCCGAAGAGGAGTTAGGGCCCTCCAGACTCAGGAAGTGCACACTACCCCCACTGACTCTTCTAGTGAAATTACTGGCCAGTTCCCCGTGACCGCATACTTTTCCTTTAGTAAAATCACCATTCACATCCCAAAATTGAAAAGGGAACGCAAAGTTAAGGTATTTTGCCGTTTCGGAAAACATTCATCCGGATAACGGGGCTAAACCATATAATTAGAAAAGCCCCTGGTGCCTGTAATCTCAGCGACTCCCAAGGCTGAGGCAGGAGGATCCCAAGGTCCAGGCCAGCCTGGGTGACTAAGTGAGCCCCTCAACAATTTAGCGAGACCCTTTTCAAAACAACAATAACAACAACAAAAAAAAAAATGAGAAGGGCTAGGGATGTAGTTCAGTGGTAAAGTTCCTCTGGGCTCCACCCATACTATCCTCTTCCCATCTCCCCTCCCCGAAAAAGAAATGGGTTAGAAAATGATGAATTAAAAAGAGGCGAGAAGTCTGCTTGCAAAACGTGGGAATTTTCTGTTATGGTGACACATGCCAGTAATTCCAGCGATTTGGGAGGATGAGGCAGGAGGATCATAAATCCAAGACCGGCCTCAACAATTTAGCAAGACCCTGTTTGAATATAAAAAAATTAAAAGCCTGGCAATGTAACTCAGTAGTAAAGTGCCTCAGGGTTCAATCCTGGGGTTCCCTCCACCCACCCACCCCCCAACCCCCCAACCCCCCCCCCACAAGATGTGGAAGTTTATTTTCAAATGCTTTTCCTTAAACACATTATATTGTGAGGCAGGACAAAGGTATTAAATTGGACGGCATCGGGTTCGGGTCAGCTCTGAAACCTAGCAGGCACAAGACTTCGAGTACAAAAGATGGAGAGAAAGTTGGGGATTTAGTTCAGCGGCAGTGCGCTTGCTCTGAGTTTGGTCCTCGGCTCTGAAAGAAAAATAAAGATGGAGAGAGCACAGTAAGCTGAGAAGCTTCAGTGTCAGAAGACAAATCCTACTTTTAAGTCGCAAGCAAAGATGCACTCAAACGCTGAACGCGGAACGGAATTTCAGTGGGTGCGGTTTTCCTGCCGGAGTCAGGGTCAACTGCAGCCTTCCCAATTGCACAGGCGCAGTGCCACTTACCCAGCATGGAAGCGTTGTGTCTCGGCTGTGTGTTGGCGGCGGTTCTAACGTGGGGTTTTCTCTGCTTTTGGGACTCTGCAGAACGAATGAAGACTGCGGAGCAAGCAGGCCTGTTGAAATCCGGAAGCCGAACCCTTCTCGTGATCGCGCACCCCGATGATGAAGCCATGTTCTTTGCTCCCACAGTGCTGGGTTTGGCACGCCTGAAGCACCGGATGTCCCTGCTCTGCTTCTCTGCAGGTAGGAGGCCTTAAGTGATCGCTGGGAGCCTGGACTGTGAGGGATTTGGGTACTAGTCAACCTCAATATACTCCTTCCCGAAGGGTTTTCAATTGTAGGGAGCTAAATGAATACAACGAAGGTCTTTCCTTTGAACTCCTTCCAGGCTGACAGGGAGCAGCTGGCCTCCCAGGTGAGTTTGGGGGGATGTCTGCAGCTTGCATACTCCACTCTCCGCTGGCAGGATTGAGGAGAGGAAAGGGAGTTTCTCACCATTGGTTCCACTCGGTGCCAGCATTTTTGTTGGGAACTGCGACTATATTAGTTATTTTGGAACCTTTCATTTGCAGAAGGGTCAAGAACAGTGATATTACTATGTACTACAGCAAAAACAATTTATTCTGTATGGTGCCTGTTCAGTCCTTAAAATTTTGCTTCTAATAATAGCAAAGGACCTTCTTGCATGCTGAATCCGTATTGTGCTAGAAAGTTGCCTGTGTCAAACTGGAGGAGGGACTCAGATCAATAGTAATTTTGTAGATAATTTTAGAGTTCATCTCCACCCAACTTTCCGTGAAAGAGCCATTCGACGAATAGGGCTAGTATTCTGATACAAAAACATCAAATGAGAAAAAAAAAAAGTGACCTTGGTGCTTAATCATGGCCATAATTGCACAGCTGTGTAAATGAAGTAATCGAGCTGTATACAATATGTGGATTTTATAGTATGTCAAATTATATCTCAATAAATCAGTTGTTTTTAGTTGCTCATAACCTCTTTTCCTATTTGGTTGTGTTATTTCAATCCTTTCTATACAAATTTCACAGAAATCACATTTAATACAAATGTATTCTTTTCACTTAACATTTCTTTTTCACTTACCTAGCATATGTTAAACATTTATGGTAGGCCTATTCTATCTGTCTCATGGAGCTCAATGTCTAAAATTGACTGTTTTAAGGCTTTGCATATAATTTGAATTCCCTAAGGCATACCAGTTTTACATTCTGAGTGGTAGTAATGAAGAGTATCTCTCTTACTTTTTTTCCCCCGAAATTCATCGTTTGTTATCAATAAGATTAAATCATCTTTATTATTTGTTGAGAATTTGGATCTAAGCACTTTTTTCTCTCTTAATGTTAAAGATATTATTTGCAAATAGTTGCAAGTAACAGCCTGATTTTTTCCTTGCTTTTAATCTTATTTATATTTCATACTACAACTATGGGAGTCAAATATAGGCAAGTTTTTGTTTCAAGATCTACAAGAGAAGCCTGGATTTTATTTGCAAAATATTGTAGATGCAGTGTGATCTTTAATAAAGTTCTTATTTTTATAAAAAGGCTCATAAAAATTTAGTATCAGAAACCCAAATTTTTCCTGCCTCATTTTCTGTCTTTTGTTTTTGTTTTTGTTTTGCTGCTGGGGTTCAAACCCAGAGCCTCAAACATGTTGGGCAAACACTCTACCATTGAGCTGAACCCCCAGCCTCCCAGGCTTTTGTTTGTTGTTGTTGTTTGTTCTAATTAGTTATATATGGCAGTAGAATGCATTTTCACACATAGTACACAGATGGAGCATAACTTCTCATTCCTCTGGCTGTAAGTGGTGCTGAACCCCACCAGGAGTGTAATCGTACATGTAAATAGGGTAATAATGTCCATCTCATTTTACCATCTTTCCCATCCCCACTGCCCCATCCCTCCCATCACTCCCCTCTGCACAATCCAAAGTTTATTCATTCTTCCCTATCCGCCCCCTCCCCGCTTACTGTGGATCAGCATCTGCTTATAGGAGAAAAGATTCAGCTTTTGGTTTTAGGGGATTGGCCTATTTCACTTAGCATTATATTCTCTAGTTCCATCCATTTACCAGCAAATGCTGTAATTTCATTCTTCTTTAAGGCTGAGTAATAGTCCAGTGTGTATTTATATCACATTTTATTTATCCATTCATCTGTTGAAGGGCATCTAGGTTGGTTCCACAGTTTAGCTATTGTGAATTGAGCTGCTATAAACATTGATGTGGCTGTGTCACTGTATATGCTGATTTGAAGTCCTTTAGATATAAACTGAGGAGTTGGGTAGCTGGGTCAAATGGTGGTTCCATTCCAAGTTTTCTGAGAAATCTCCATACTTCTTTCCAAAGTGGTTGTACCAATTTGCAATCCCACCAGCAATGAATGAGTTATCTTTTTTCCCTCATCTTTGCCAATACTTATTGTTTGTATTCTTGATTATGTGCCATTCTGGCTAGAATGAGATGAACTCCTAGAGTAGTTTTGATTTGCCTTTCTCTAATTCCAGCCTCCCATGTTTCCCCCACCCCCTAATAAAAATTGTAATCCCAGCTATTTGGGACACTGAGGCAGGAGGATCTCAAATTCCAGCCCAATCTGGACAACTTAGAGAGACCCTGCCTCAAAATAAAAAAATACAAAGGGCTGAGAATGTAGCTCAGGGTAGAACACTTTCCTAGCCTATGCAAAGTCCTGGCTTCAAGCCATAAAAGAGAAAAGAAAAGAGAAAAAAATGTGAGCATATACTTAGAAGCCAGCATTTTTAAAATTTATTTTTTATTTTTTTATTTTATTTTTTTAATTTATAGATGGATACGATGCCTTTATTTTTTATTTTTTATGTAGTGCTGAGGATCAAACCCAGTGCCTCACATGTACTAGGTGTGTCTTTCATTATTTCCTCTGAATCTAAATTATCATTTTAAATTGTTCTATCTTGGATTTAGTTGGGCACAGTGGTGCGCACACTGAGCTACAACCCAGCCCCAGCAGTCAGCATTTTTGTTGTTGTCTTTCATTATTTCCTCTGGAATCTAAATTATCATTTTAAATTGTTCTAACTTGGATTTTTAAAATTATATTTTAAATCACAACTCATTCAAAAATATGTATGGAACATTTTTCACACTCCTGACTTATCATTCTGATGTACAAAACAGGACACTGATAATTTATGACACAGTATAATGAAAGCTATAATGATGTAATGGAGAAAGTACTATGGGTACAAAATATAAAAATGCATTAATTCTCTTTGAGGAGACTAGATTAAGGAAAGTTTCTCCAAATAGGTTTTCTTTTGAGCTAGTCTTTAAAAATAATAGTTGGTTACCTATGACGCAGAGTAAGTCATTCTAGACAGTAGTAAAGACATCAGTAAGTCCTGAACTTGTATAAATAATTCATTCTAACTAGAGCCCCAGGTTAGGGAGAAGGGAGAAGCAGGGGAAAGGATAATTTTTTTGTTACTAATGCCTCTTTTAATCCTGTCAGTAACCCTATGAAGAAGATAATACTATTATTCCCATTTTATAAGTGTAGCAACTAAATCACAAAGAGTTTAAGTAACAACCAGAGTACTGTAGCTTTTTTTGTTGTTGTTGTTCTAAACCATTATACCCAGTCTACCTCTTGTATTGCTTTGCATGCCATGTCAGTTATAAAATATCTGTATTGATTCCCAGTGTACATTTTTTAAGCTTTATTTTGTTTATTTATTTTGATGTGGTGCTGAGAATTTCTGCTATTTAAAAAAAAAAAATACTTTGGCCTGACAATTTTAGGGAACTTAGCCAGATGTGCTATCCCCCATTTAGAAGTTTGCAGTCCTTATGAGAATATAAACATCATTGAGAAGTCTTACTATTAAAATAAAAAAAGATCTAATTGGGCACAGTGGTGCACATCTGTAATCCCAGCGGTTTGGGCGACTCATGCAGGAAGACCACAGGTTCAAAGCCAGCCTCAGCAACTTGGCAAGGCCCTGAGAAACGTAGTAAGATCCTATCTCAAAGTAAAATATAAAAAGGATTGGGGATGTGGCTCAGTGGTTAAGTGCCCCTGAGTTCAATCCCTGGTACAAAAAAAAAAAAAATTATTTAATTTTGTTTAATCCAGCATTTCCCAAATTTATGTAACCACCAAAATGCCTGCTAATATGCACATCCAATAATGTGTAATTAATATAATCAATTCTCTGTTTTAAAAAAGCTTATTCTAGGGCTGGGGCTGTAGCTCAGTGGTAGAGCTTGCTTTGCACATGTGAGATACTGGGTTCGATCCTCAGCACCACATAAAAATAAATAAAGATATTGTGTCATCTACAATTTAAAAATATTAAAAGAAAAAAAAACTTATTCTAGCTGGGCACAGTAGTAATCCCAGCGGCTGGGGAGGCTGAGGCAAGGATGATTTTGATTTCAAAACTGGCCTCAGAAATTTAGCGAGGCTCTAAGCAACTCAATGGGACCCTGTCTTTAAATAAAATACAAGAAAGGGCTGGGGATGTGGCTCAGTGGTTAAGTAACCCTAGTACCAAAAAGAAAAAAAAAAAAAAGCTTTTTCTAGGGACTGTGGTTTTAACTCAGTTATAGAGCACTTGCCTACCAAGCACTATGTTCGATCCTCAGCACCACATAAAAAAAATAAAAATAAAAGGTATTGATTRTGTCTATCTACAACTAAAAAATAAATAAATAAATAAATAAACAAACAAACAAGCTTATTCTAGTCTGGCACAGTAGTGGAGCAGGCTGTAATCCCAGTGGCTGGGGAGGCTGAAGAGGAGGATGAAGAGTTCAAAGATAGCCTCAGTATTTTGGCAAGGAGGCCCTAAGCAACTTAGTGAGACCCTGTCTCAAAAAATAGAAAGGGCTGGGGATGTGACTCAGTGGTCAAGGTGCCCCTGGGTTCAATCCCTGATTAAAAAAAAAAAAAAAAAAAAAAAAAACTCATTCTGATGGCAATGTGGAAAAGGTTTGAAAGGAAAGATTATAGTCAAGAATACCAATTCAGCCCATCATTTCCTCTCTAGATTGCAACTGCAGACTCAAACATTAGATTCCCTTGTATTTCTGGTCTATGTGCTGTTCCTTCAGTCTGACATTCCTATCTTAATTACTATAGCTTTTATTGCACTGCTATCTGATATGACCAGATTGCTTCGGGCATGTTTGCTGATTTTGACTTTTTTTTTCTTCTAAATACATTTTATAATTAGCT